CGGCGGCCACGCGGGGGAGCGCGCCAGCCCTGCGGACGCCGGTCCGGACGCTTAGGAACGCCGCGACCGCCGCCCTGGACCCTGAACCCTGGCTCGGGAGGCGCCACCCAGGAGGGGCCTTGCCCAGTACAGAGAGCACCCTGAGAATGCAGGACAAGTCCGTCACTGCCCAACAGACGGGCCGAGTCGTGACAGCCAACGTAGGGGAGACGTTGTCCCTAAACCCTGGGGCTTCCTGACAGTCTCGCCAGTGGCGCCAGTGCGTAATAAATTTCCGATTCCTTATAGCCAGTAACAAACACCGGGGAACCCATTTATTCTTGTTGGGGGAAGGCCCCGGCCGGTGGGGGGTAGCCAGTCCTGGTGAGGGGGTGGGCTTCACGCTGACAAGATGGGGGAAGGATTGAGGAGGCTCTCAGGGAACGACAGGGAACAGGCATCCCCGAGCACAGCGCTCTGCAGAAAACAAATTAGAATCAAACAAGGCGAAAACACTGCACATAAAGAAGTATGGCTGGGTTCTGGGTAAGGAAGGGGCCGGAGTGCGGCAAGCAGCGGCGGAGCGACACTTCCCCCTATTCTTCCGCACACTTGGAAGACCAGCCACTTCAAGTCCTGTGTACCCAAACTATTTCTGAAGAGGGTGGGCTTTGGAGCCAGCTCTGGGACCCCACACAGAAGCTATGGCAGTGGGCCCCAGCCTCAGTTTCCTCATCTGAAAAAGGGGATAAGCAACAGGAGAGATCCTACCTCGCTGCGTGGAGGGTGAGGTGCTCATCCCCGCAGGGGGCAGAGCAGAGGTTGGCCCCAGGCGGGTGCTCCGCAGACACAGATGACAGCCACCAACTGCCAGCGGGAGGATTAGCATCCTGCTTTGGGGAGTTTAGGAAGGTGCTGGATTTGTCAACTGCAGCGCTTGAGAACAAACCAGTTGCAGCAATGGGAGACACATTCTTTGAACGTGCATGAATCTGCAGGGTCCGCCTGTCCCCACCCCTGCTCCCCCCCATGACGTCCCCTCTCTCATTCTTGGGTCTTTTGCTTACTTATGTCTGGGCTTCTGCTCATCCAGTCTGCAGGATCCTCCCAGCCTGCCCCACAGGTGCCCAGAGCTGCAGTCCTGCCTCAGCCTGAAAGGCCTGAGCTTTGGCCTGTGGGCCCCAGCCCTGTTCCGGTAGTTCTCCCGGGAAGGACAGCCTTGCCCCACTGCCTGCGGCCACACCCTGGTTGCCCGTCCAGCCTACCCACTGCACCTCCTCTGACTCTGGCTGGGCCCCGGCCCTCCCCTGGCAGCCCCACCTCCACTCATGGCCCCACCTGGCTGGAGGACAGCAGGGAGAGTCCACATTGACGTTCTCAGAGCAATGAGCACTCTGGGTGCCCCATCACCCAGCCTCAACATGAGACCTGATTCCCACATCTTCGTGCTCAGACCCTTTCCCTTCTGGGGACTGGGCCAGCAGACACTTT